GACAATTTTAAGGAAAAAAAAATCATAAAGGAGACAACACGTTCTCATACACTTTGTATATTTATTGAATATATAATTTCTTTCATGTGTCCATATAATGGACACGTGCAGTGTTACCAGAAACACTAATACTTTAGCTAATTACATTTTGAACAGCATATTCTAAAATATGGTATACTTTAGTTCCAAACTAAAAAAATTAGTGATCTAAAACAATCTCAAAAGTGTTTCCCGTACCTATCCTCAAATGTTTCCTTGGAAAGGAAAAAAATTAAAATATAAGATGAAATAAGTTTTGATACGTCAAAACATAAAAATTGGCTCATAATGCTCGTAGAATTATTTTGCTATATGATTAATTTAGAAAATGTCTCCCTAGTGTCCAAAACGTATCTAGGTCTAAAAAAAATGAAACGTTTGGACGAGAGCTAGTGTCCAACATGAACATGCCACATTCTTAAAAATATTCATGTTTCTTAGGTGGTTGTGCAAACTACAAAATCCTCAAATGTGTTCTAGTGCAAAAACAATGATTGTTAGAATAAATGATCTTAGTGGCATCAACTGCAAGCTCTATTAGTTGTGACATTAAAAAAAATCATGCTATTAGAAGCTCTCATCTCATACATGAGATTTGAATACATAGAAGCATTGCCTGTACTTATAGGAATGGAAGCCCAGTTTTCTTCCTTTGTTCTCCTTTCTCAATAGTAAAACAGATCATCCAATATGTTGTTGGCTGATACAATATCATAAAAAATAAAAATAATAAATAAATAAACATAAATAAATAAATATAAGATAAGAATTCACTTTCTCATTGGAGCTTCTTGAGACTGACCATTGAAATTTGGACAAATTAAAAATATTCACTGTAATTGTCTTATGTTGTCTTATATTGCATTTTTCTTTGTTTTCATGGGTTGTGGGCCGGGTACTCTTGTATTTTGCTTCCCTTGTATTATTTGGTTTCTTGGACAAAGAACCTCTTCTGGATGAACATTCATTATTCTTTATCAAACTCCTTTTAGGTGCATTTTCAATATGAAATGTGATGTTCCCTTGTTCTCTTTGGGTCGTTTTAAGAATCTCATTTGCTGTTTCACTTGGCTTACCAAAAATTTCTAATGCCGGAGGAATTTGAGTGAGTAGAGAGAAAAGGAAAAGACAAAACGAACAGATAGAATCTATCAAATACACTTCAAGTTTTCTCTGCTTTTGATTGCTTATTAACTTAATGAAGCAACATGAACAAATTTATCTTAGGCTCCCTTAGTTTCCTAAGTGAATTATAGAAGATTTCGTGTGATCAATATTGTTCTTATAATCTTACAATTTCGTATCGTGTTTGTTTTTTCCTGGATTTATTATCAAAATGCATGAGAAATGATCCATAGTATTAGGTCTCAATTCCTTTAATATGATATAATTACAACGATAAATACAAAAATATTTTCTAATATTTTGTTTAGTTTTTTTATAAGAACATATTAACTTAAAGTAATAGAATTTATCAAATTGATATATCATTATAGTTTCATGCATGTTCCTTACAACTACATAGAAAATAAGGATTAACAAGAAAATATAACAATAAGTAAATTAAATATCAATAAACAAATCAGCAAGTACACATGAATGTAACATTTTTTCATAGAAACCATTCACCTAAAAGGAAATTAAAAAACTAATTGCTATAATGAATTAAGACCATTGCACAAAGACAGTGGAAATATAAAACAACTTAAGAAGGTTGGAATGGCCTCCAAAAAGCCATTACAAAGGTCAATAAGTGTTAAAATATAAATAAATAAATAAACTCATACAAAATAGTCAAATATTCATTTTTATTCACTCTATTTTTTGCACCTTTTTTTTTTTTTTTTTTTTGTAAAAAGTCAAAAAATCCATCCTAAACATATTTTGATTTTTTTCAGCTCATATTTTAACTAAAAAGACACTAAAAATGTAACTTCCTAAATGAGGCCTTAATCAATAACCTTCTTAGGTTCTTTAAATGACAACATAGGACATTTCCAGTGAATAAATGATGAGAAATTTTTTGAATGGGTCCAGATTTTAATGGTCATTCTTAATAAGCTCCAAAAATAAACTAGTATCTCATTTCTTTTAATGAATTGTATCAACCAATGGCAATCACATTGGATGATCTGTTATTGCTGAGAAAATGGAAGAAAGAAGAATTGGCATTCCATGACTATAAATTAAGCACAATAAAGTCATATGGATTCTGATGCTTTTGTAAAAGCATAAACAAATATCATGTATGCTTAAGTTTCTATGATGTCAGCATGCAATTTTTAACATCAGAGCTTGGAAGTGAAGCTACTAGGATGATAAATTTAATTTCTATCTATACAGTCCAGCTCTACCAACAAAAACCAAAAAATGTCTTGGTGAAGAACCTTTATGCAGTTTAGTTGAAGAAATTTCATGCAATTATTAGAACAAAAACATTAGAGAGATCACACAAGCTTTTCTTAAACTCAAGTTAGAAAATAGACGTTCCCAACACAAGTTCTTTTAACATTACTCCACTATGTTATCTGGGAATGAGAAGCAGAAACTTATTGGTCTATAATCAATAACCCTCTTGGGCTCTTTAAATGATGACATGGGACAATTCCAGTGAATAACGATGAAATTTCTTTTTGAATGGGTACAGATTTCAATGGTCTAACTCAATAAGCTCAAACCAGAAAGTGTAAACTTATACCTTGTATTTCTTTTATTGAATACTGTTTGACTGATGAGAAAATTGAAGAAAGGATTCCATGACTATAATTAGGCACACGAAGTTATATGGATTCTCGATGCTTCTGTGTATTCAAATCTCATGTATGCTTAAGTTTCTATGATGTCAACATGCAATTTTTAAGATCAAAGTAAATAGATCTTGACCATAATGCTACTAAGACAATAAAATTAACTTCTAACCACCATTATTTCTGCAACCAAATAGAACAAATTTGCAGATTTCATAGTAACATAGCAAAGATACCAAGTTTAACCTTACAAACTCAAACAACATGATAATGTCTTGTTGTAAATCAAATTATGTTAACAAAGTTTTTGTGTTTTTATTTTATTTTATTATATATATATTTTTTGTATTACGACATTTAAACAGCTCTGAAGAAAAATATTGGCTTCCAGGATACCTAACACCTTCTCTTTTGGGTAGTTGATGAGATTCGCTTTATATCAGAACTAGTGAAGCAACAAGGACTTGAATAAACTTCTTTAATTTATTAATACAACCACAACTCATAACTTTTTTCACCACAAATGGTTCATAACATTTACATCATATCATTCATAACATAATCACTAAGGTTTGTAACTTTCACTTTAAGGTGCACACCATAGATTTTCCATTCATTACTTTTCGCAACTTTCACCACAAAAAATCGGAACTTTCTCAACAAAAAATCGGAACTTTCTCACTGACTTTTTAGGTGCATGCCATAGATTTCTCCCTATTAATAACATTAACAAATTACAAAAAGAAGAAAGCTATGACTCTCTCTCTCTCTCTCTCTTCCTGTTATTAACCATTTTAAAGGAATCACTAATAGTTATAATGGTTATTTGCAACCAAATAGAACACCACCATTATTTCTGCAACCAAATAGAACAAATTTGCAGATTTCATAGTAACATAGCAAAGATACCAAGTTTAACCTTACAAACTCAAACAACATGATAATGGTCTTGTTGTAAATCAAATTATGTTAACAAAGTTTTTGTGTTTTTATTTTATTTTATTATATATATATTTTTTGTATTACGACATTTAAACAGCTCTGAAGAAAAATATTGGCTTCCAGGATACCTAACACCTTCTCTTTTGGGTAGTAGATGAGATTCGCTTTATATCAGAACTAGTGAAGCAACAAGGACTTGAATAAACTTCTTTAATTTATTAATACAACCACAACTCATAACTTTTTTCACCACAAATGGTTCATAACATTTACATCATATCATTCATAACATAATCACTAAGGTTTGTAACTTTCACTTTAAGGTGCACACCATAGATTTTCCATTCGTTACTTTTTCGCAACTTTCACCACAAAAAATCGGAACTTTCTCACCGACTTTTTAGGTGCATGCCATAGATTTCTCCCTATTAATAACATTAACAAATTACAAAAAGAAGAAAGCTATGACTCTCTCTCTCTCTCTCTCTTCCTGTTATTAACCATTTTAAAGGAATCACTAATAGTTATAATGGTTATTGCAATCTGCAGATGATCACTGTGAACATGTGATAATTTAGAATTCAACAAGAATAGAATAACATATTTTCCATTTTTGTGTGTGTGTGTGTGTGTGTCTTTTCCATTCAATCGTTGTGCATTTAGAACCATTCTATCCAACCACATCACAAGGAGATCAAAACCGTGAAGAATGTGAGATTAATGTATCCTCACTGAGGATCAGACCAACAAATAATAGACTTTATTAACCGAGGCTACGTTCTTCTAAAACTTATCTCCAATCTAAGTTGGTTTTAACTTATGTTCCAATCCCATGTTGTTTTGTGAAGTTGTGTTTTCAATTAGTTTATTGCCAAAAAAAACTCATGAATGATACTTGCGGTAGTCAAAAGGGGTTCACTGGAACGCTCTGGTACATCAGGCAGAGAAAGAGGTGTAACAAAGACCAGCTTAAAAGACAATGTGAGCATCATCAAAATAATGATAGTACCATCAAAGACCAACAATCTAACAAATACTCACCAGAGGGAAAATGAGATTGTGTTTTAAAGGGTCATACCATCTACATGAAGAACACAGATCATACATTATGGAACTCTGAACAAAACTATTATCTTAGAGAACCATGATGATGATTACATAAAAGAATAAAAAAGCAACATACTAAGTTTTAAAACAAGCATCTATAAGAAATGAGTTGACAAAGTTGTACAAAAAAAACAAAAACATACCTGCTCCAACATGTTAGATATCTCAAACAGGGGCTAGACTTTCAACGAATTTGTAAGTCTGAGAACAAGGATAACGGCGAAAACTTGGTGCATGAAAGTTAAGTAGAGGCAAATGCTCTAGAAGCACCCTCGATGACTTGCACTTGAGATCATAATAAATTGCTTTGCCAGCAGTAGCTAACACCAACGCAAAATCATTTTCGCTGACTCCCTTCACAACACATAGCACATGAAATTTGTATCTTTTGCTTCTGTCATCTTTGTGTATCTCAGGGAATACAGAAATTAAGGGTCTAAGATTGAGGCGGCATTTCACAAACCAATGGAAGGAGACCCTGTCCATCTCAAGGATTCTGAATCCCATAGCATTTCGCAAACGCATCTGAATAAGAAGCAAATGACCACCACATTCCCCAAAATACCTAGTCTTGGCCATAGAAAGAATTTTAGGACTTGGAGGATTATGGGTTTTTATGAGCTTCTCTTCATCAACGTCAAATCTAAAGTGAACATCCTCGTGACTCAACCAATGGATTGCCCCATTCCAAAACACACCTTCAAGGCAATCACCCAGTGGTTCACATTCACTGACAGTAATTTGTTTCCAAGACGCAGTCTCGGAAGAGTAGATATCAAATTGATAACAGGGTCGAAAGAAAACAACTTTGTAGTGAGGTGATTTTGAAGGATCAAAAGCCAAGTAAACACCCCATAGTTCACATGAAAGACTTAGACAATCAAGTTGAGGAAGTAGAGTGAATTTCTGGGTGGTTGGATTACAAACAACGTAATTTTTTCTAAAACGATTACAAACAATTTGATAGCTCTGGCACAAAATTAAACCGTTGCAAGCGCTTCTAATCCTAAATGGACGATCACCTCCAACAGCGTCGAGGAAGGAGAGAGTGGGAAGACTGCGATTTGGGTGGGCGTGAAGCGAGACAGACTGAAGCTCTGAACGAGAATAGTCGAAGTAGAAGAACAAGCCAGAGATCATGGAGGAATTGCGAATTCGACGAGAGTGGTTGACGGCAAAGTGAGAATCGGAGATGAGATGGAGCCAATTCTTGGAGACGGACTTGAATCTGATTAGGGATTTGGCGGGTAGGCGTAAGAGAATCTCTGTAAGGAGATCTTCATTGCTCGCAATTACTTCTTCTGACGCCGGTGAGCTTTCCGATAATGTAGAACCGATGATCGCCTTTCTTCTTCTTTTGCTGCATGCTTTCTTCGTCATTTTCGCATACGTACAGATTGTGATTACAGTGAATTAGGGTTCGTATATGGGGAATAAAGTGGAAATAGCTTGAAAGGTGTCGTTCGAAAAAAATACTTGGACACGTACGATATTTTTGTATTTTAATAAGGTCTCGTTTGCAAACACTATGGTCCCGTTTGGTAACACTTATGTTTTCAAATTTTTTTTTATATTTATAAAAATTTTAAAAATTTAAATAAAAATTTGTTTGTTAAAATTTTTGATTTATAAATCAGTGGTCTCAGTTTATAAATTTGGCCAAAAAACGAAAACACAGAAAATGTGTTTCCATTTTGAGTTTTTAGTTTTTTTTTTTACCACCCAACACTAGCCACCAACCGCCACCATTTTCCACCACCGTCTTCCGCCACCACCACCCAACCCCCACCACCACCTGCCATTACCACTCACCACCCACCTGCCACCCACTCGCCACCACCATCCATCCCTCGCCACCGCCACCGCCACCTACCTACCATTTTTAATTAAATTTCCCAAATGGCTCTAAAAATTTCCATTAGCATATCCTTATACTCAATTTCGGTTTCTAAATCTATTAAGGTCATCAATTTCAGTTCCAAAGTCGTAGCCCCAATAGATATTTCTCCAATTTCGACAGGTATTCTCAAATTAATTCATATTAATGCATAATTAAGAAAAATAATTGTAACACACATTTCGGGGCCGTTACAAAAATAGAGGATGATTTTCTCACAGAGTATTTGTTTGTGTACATTGTAAAAGAAATTACTTAAAATTTTAATCTAGGGTCAGGGACAAAAGACTTTTGATGTTTAAAAGAATATTAACTTCTGCTTTGATAAATGATTGAGCTGAAATATATCAAGAAAGAAACAATTATTTGTAATTTTTTGTTAAGGCCCAATACTAGTTTTATTTTTTATGTATTAATTTAGCATTCAGTCTTAGTATATTTCTCATTTTTTATTATAGAAAAATCTAATAGTTTGTATTTTGGATACACTAGATATGAGGAATGAATTCAACTACCGACTTTTATTTGTTCATCAATTCTCACTCACCACCACCCACCCGCCACCCCCTGCCACCACCGCCCACTCGCTATCACCCATCACCCGCCACTGTCACTCACACCCCCACCACCACCCACCAGCTACCCACCACCCACCGTGACCACTTTCCACCACCGTCTTCCGCCGCCACTTGCCATTTCTGACTCTTTTTTATATTTTTTAATTTGTTTAAACATTTTGTCAATTACCAAATGCGTTTGTAGTTTATGTTTTTCTAAAAATAAACAAAAACCACTTTATAAAATTTTTGTAAATATAAACTGAAAACGTAAACGTTACCAAACACACTATATATGTTTGGTAACTTAACTTAGAAAAGAAAAGAAAATGAGTGATTAGTTAAGTTATAAGAGAAAAGAAAAAAAAAAGAAAGAAATGATTGTAATTTCTCTCTTTTTTGTTTGGATAAGGAAAAAATAAAATAAAAGAAATGATTTTGATTTCTCTCATTCATGTTTGGTTAAATTTCATTAAGAGAAAAGAAAAGAAATTATTTTATGTTATATTACAAAAATAACATTTTTATATTTTCAATCATTTTATTTTTTTTATTTCTATAGGGACAAAATTGGTATTATAAAAATAGTGGTTTCTTTTCTCTCCCAATCTGTCCACTTTTGGAAAGATTGAAAATGAGGCTTATAAGATAAATGAGTTTTTCTCAATTTCTCTCAATTTCTTCATATTTCTCTCTACTTAGTTATCCAAACAAGTACGAGAAATACATATCTCTCTATTTCTTTTCTTTTTTCTCCAAATCACTCAATCCAAACATAGCGTAAGTGATTTTTTTTATCTAAAAAGTTAAAAAATTACTTTAAAAAATTAAAAAGTCAATAATTTATATTAAAAAGTCAAAAATTCACTTTTTCGTCTATTTTTTATACATTTTTTTTTAAAAAGTCAAAAAATCATCATAAACATACTAGTTTTTTTTACATCTTATTTTAGTCAAAAAATCAAAAAGTTATTAAAAAAATATGTTCTTAAACGAGGCTTAAGTCTTACAAATATTATTTTGGATTTTTTTTTTCACACATTTTGGATTTATTAAAATATAATAATATCTTACGAATTAATTAGTATAATTTTATATTTTATAAGTTATAATTAAAATAAAAATATCATAACCAAATGCAATATAAAGCATAATTAAATAACTTAAAAATTATAACTAAAATAATATCATAATGAAATAAGAAAATTAATTATAATTAAAAAAAATGACATAATTAAAGATACATATGATATATATTTTTTAACAACGTAAATATTAAAATTTTCTGATAATAAATTACAGTGTGTATATAATTATATATATCTATATATACTGTGTGGTGAGAAGTGGTATGTTCGGGTTAGGTCTTTAAGGTAAGTAAAAAATTAAAAAAATAAAATAAAACAAAACTTATTTCATCTTATTACATTGAAATGTAATTCTAACTCTCAAAATAAACATATGAGATACACTTCTGACTTGGTTGAAGTCCACCACCTTTGTTGAGGTGATTGAAAAAAATTTAGTCTTCTGTTAGTTTCAATAGAAAATATAACTGTAACCTTTTAATTTAAAATTTTATGAAAGTCATGTAACTATGTTTAAAAGACAAATAGGTAAAATGTTATCAAATTATACTACAACAAGAGTATAAAATACATTTTACCCTAATAATAATAACATGAAATATAAGCGAGTGTGTGCTTTGGTGCAAATGAAAATAGTTGTTTACTTGCGCAAAAACATATATCATACTTATAATTATTTTGAGAGTTAGGCTTCTCTTCTTAATGCTTTAAAAGGACTACAAAAAACAAAAAAAAATACAAATTTTTTGCCCAAAAAAGCATCATGTGAGGGGCACATGTCATTTTCCATCAGCTACTTTAACACCTATCTAACGAAAGGACCACATTGCAACTTAATCGATAATGTAAGGAGTTGACGATTACAGCTGAAAAATGAGAGACCGAAGTGGGAATTGGTGTAAAATGTAGGGGTACTAAATGTAATTTACATAACTTATATTGTATTAACCATTAGATGGTCAACTACATGTCTTACCCACAGCACTTGCAAAATTTTTGTGGCCCATGTTTCCCATTATTTCTTCTTTTCCATTTTCCAGAGGAGAGAGAGAGAGAGAGAGAGAGAGAGAGAGAGAGAGAGAGAGAGCGGCAGAGAGACGAGCTGAGAGAGACGAAGAGGCAAACACAACGGAGAGAGAAACGAACTAAGAGAGATGGTGGAGGGACACGACGGTGAAGGACAGATGGTGACGGGTGACGTTGAGTCCAACGGTGACGCAACGGCGGCAAGGCGAGATTGCGGTGATGACGAGGTCTATTTCATCATCATTGTCGTTTGTTACTGTTATATATATATATATGTGTGTGTGTGTGTGTGTGTGTGTGTGTGTGTGTGTGATTCTTGGGATAGATTTGTTGTTGATTTTTGAAATGGGTTTGATGATAAATGGAAGAAAATATAAAAGAAATGGATTTGATTTTCTGTTAAATTTGTTGTTGTTTTGTATATATATATATGTTAAATGGGTTTGTGTTGATGATAATTTTGTATATATATATGATTATTTGGTTAGATTTGTTGATGATAAACTAATTTACTGATTTATTGTTTGAGTTCTTGCCATGGTTTGATTCTTGGGTTAGATTTGTTTGATGATAAACTGATTCGTTTGTATATAGGATTTCTTTACTGTCAGAGATAGTAGAGCCTCCTCTAGTATCTCGCCCACAACATCCACAAATAAGCACTCCTCTCTTTCATGGGGTTGTTGGGATGTTTGGAAAACATTGAGTTTCACTTGCATATTCCCAAATGAAACATCCATACCCTGGTACGACAATTAATACATGCATTAGCCGTAGCCAAGAAAGTCGACCTAAGATCACCAGGATTTGTTTCCTAGAGCTGGCAACCGGTTCCATAGCTAAAACAAAAAAATCAATAGGAAAATAAAACCTATTGACCTTTACTAGCACATCCTCAATCATGCCACGTGGCACTTTAAAGGACCGGTCAGCCAACTGGAGTGTGACAGTAGTGGGCTTAACGTCGCCAAGCCCAAATTTCTCGTGCACAGAGTACAACAATAAATTGACACTAGCCCCCAAATCTAATAAGGCCCTATCATTGAAATAGTCCCCTATAATACATGCAATGATTGGGGCACCCGAGTCTTTAAGCTTAGAGGGTGTGTCACTCAATAAGATGGAGCTTACTTGCTCCGTGAGTATGACCTTTTGGGACACGTGTGTCCTAGATTTACGATTTTGCATACAAAGGTCCTTCAAAAATTTGGCATAGGATGGTACTTGCTTAATCGCCTCCAATAGGGGGAGGGTGATTTTAACTTGTTTAAAAACCTCCATCATCACTTCCATGGATGCCGTATTCTTATTAAAAGGGGACGGTGTATCAAGGCATTAGAGAAAGGATGCTTTAGGCACATATGGTGCCTTAGACTCATGTGAAGTATTATGGACTAAGCCATCCCTCTTATGTGTTTCTTCTTCACCCTTGCTCTCATTGGGTTTACCACCGTGGTCACCCTTCTTAGCCCTAGTTGCATCAAATGCAACTATCCGAAGCTCTAACTCCTTTCCACTTCTCAAAGTAATCACTGCTTGCACCTGTTCATGGTGCTTTCCATTCCCACTCGACCCCTTTGCCCTATATTGACCGTTAGGGTTAGCCGCAGTCTGACTCAGTAATTTTTCCTCGTCTCTCCTATTCATGTTATTAGCCATTTGATCTAATTAGGCCTCTAGCTTGGCAATAGAGTAAGTGTGGGAGTGAACTAATAGTGCTGACCCTTTAAGCTTTGAAAGAACTTCCAACACCCAAATATCAAAGTTGAGTTGCCTTGAGGAAACAACGAGTGTCACGCCCCAACTTTTTAA